CCCCCCCCCCCCCCCCCCCCCCAATAATTGAAACGATCAAAGTTGGTCAAAATTGAACTGATATTTGCCCAAAGTTGGTCAAAATGAAATTGATGTTTGCTTAAAATTGAAAGTAAAACTCGGAAAAGTTTGGTAAAAACTAAATGTTTGGGATAAAAGGTGGTCGAAATAGGTCAAACTTATGAAATGGTTCGCAATTTTAACAATTTTAAAGCTTTTGTTATGTTTGCGGTGAAAAAATTGGAAACCTTGCTTATCTTGGTCGAAAAATTTTGAATATGCTTACGTTAGTCCGGAAAATTTTTTTTGAGTATGTTTATGTTAGCCGGAAATTTTTTTTGACTATGCTTATGTTAGGAACCATTCATTATTTATGACCGGGAGTGGGCTGGCAAAAAAAGGGGGTGGGTCATGAGGTATTTTTGACCGAAAAAAGGGGGGGGACGTAAAAATATTAGTTCAGAAGGGGAGGTCCAGTTATTTTATTTATTTATTTATTTATTTATTTAACTTCGCCAGGTAAAATTACACGAGAGACATGCATACATTACAAATACAAACTATACAAGTGACGAATGGCGGGGACACCACAACAGTTGAAACCAATTACTGCGGGCCCTTTTAACATATAGGTTACATATAGATATCTAAAAACAACAGTTGATAACATTGGTCAAACTTCGGCAAGAGTTACAATTTAAACATATAGATCTCCATGCCTGACTTGGATAGGCAAGAACAGGGCGAACCACTGACAGATAAAGTGTGCGACGAGTCCTTGTGTTTGTTATTTCTCTACCGCTTCTCCTCACGAAACCTAACAGTTTGTTTGATTTTGCACAACGTTCCAGAACGTGCTTGGTCCACGTAAGGTCACTAGAAACCCAAATTCCCAGGTCCTTTTCGGCTGATGTTGTTGCAAGTTCGTTGTCCATGATCATGAACGGATAAATAACGGGCTGGGTTTTCCTCGTTACAGGCAACACTTGTACATTACACAACACTTGTACATTTGTACATTACAAATACAAACTATACAAGTGACGAATGGCGGGGACACCACAACAGTTGAAACCAATTACTGCGGGCCCTTTTAACATATAGGTTACATATAGATATCTAAAAACAACAGTTGATAACATTGGTCAAACTTCGGCAAGAGTTACAATTTAAACATATAGATCTCCATGCCTGACTTGGATAGGCAAGAACAGGGCGAACCACTGACAGATAAAGTGTGCGACGAGTCCTTGTGTTTGTTATTTCTCTACCGCTTCTCCTCACGAAACCTAACAGTTTGTTTGATTTTGCACAACGTTCCAGAACGTGCTTGGTCCACGTAAGGTCACTAGAAACCCAAATTCCCAGGTCCTTTTCGGCTGATGTTGTTGCAAGTTCGTTGTCCATGATCATGAACGGATAAATAACGGGCTGGGTTTTCCTCGTTACAGGCAACACTTGTACATTACACAACACTTGTACATTTGTACATTACAAATACAAACTATACAAGTGACGAATGGCGGGGACACCACAACAGTTGAAACCAATTACTGCGGGCCCTTTTAACATATAGGTTACATATAGATATCTAAAAACAACAGTTGATAACATTGGTCAAACTTCGGCAAGAGTTACAATTTAAACATATATATCTCCATGTTCTTGGGTCCTCTGCATCAAAACAACTGAGAAGGGTTTTTGAATAATATTGTCGTAATAAACTTTTAAATGTACTTAAACTTAAATTTGGTCGTCTTCAGTCTGTCGGAAGGCAATTCCATACTCTCGTGACGCGGGTAATATACGATCGCTGGAAAGTCCTAGTCCTGCATTTTGGGGGGCGGAAGGATAACTCACTGGCACTGGAAGATCTAGTTACTCTCGTGGGGATTATCGGTTTAGGGAGAACATCTTCAGATATGACAATCAGCCCATTTATAGCTTTATAGAAGATCACAAGATCCATGTACTCATGCCAGTACGATAACGGCATCAGTTCTAAAGTGATCAACCTATCACGGTAAGACTCACTACACATGAAGGGAAAATTCAGTATGAACTTGGAAGCTCTTCTCTGGATACGTTCTGTTCGTTTGATGAGACCTATGGACTGGGGCGACCATACCTGACTTGCATATGCAAGAACATGCAGGGCAAACCACTGACAGATAAAGTGTGCGACGAGTCCTTGTGTTTGTTATTTCTCTACCGCATCTCCTCACGAAACCTAACAGTTTGTTTGCTTTTGTACAACGTTCCAGAACGTGCTTGGTCCACGTAAGGTCACTAGAAACCCAAATTCCCAGGTCCTTTTCGGCTGATGTTGTTGTAAGTTCGTTGTCCTTGATCATGTACGGATAAATAACGAGCTGGGTTTTCTTCGTTACACGCAGACATTTACACTTGAGTTGGTTGAAGGCGAGACCACTGGAGGTAGACCAACTGCCTAGGTTACTCAGATCAGTTTGGAGTAAATCAGCATCACAGATAGAATCCATGCGACGATAGATCTTGGTGTCGTCAGCAAAGCAGGCAACACTTGAGTTCTTGACAACATCAGGTAGGTCATTTACATAGAGGAGGAACAGGATGGGGCCTAATATACTGCCTTAAGGTACTCCCGAAGACACTGGTTTTTCAGAAGACGTTGCACCAAGAGTAGTAACGCGTTGTCGACGATTATATAGATAAGAAGAAAACCAATCGAGCAGGGCTATTAGTAAAACACGGACCACGGAGCACACGGAGCACGGAGTACGGAGCACACGGAGCACGGAGCACACGGAGCACGGAGCACACGAACTACGGAGCAGTAGAAAAACGAAAATCCTTTATAATAAAATACACTGTTTACTACAAATTTTTATTACAAATTTTTGTTCTTATTAATAAAGTTTTTCGCGTTTTACACGTTGAGGAAGTAGAAAAATGGGGCTTTTACTGCACATATGATGCAAAACTGCCAAAAGCCATAGTATTTAAAATAGGATTGTGCCTGTGAAACTCGTCACATATCTATCAAGCTTATGAGTTATGTAGTTATATCAGTATATTCCGATGGCCAACGCATTAAGAAGCACTTAGAGAACAGCCGATATATTTCGTTACCCCTGCCAAAAAATAGCCAAGTACTCATCTTTCAATGTAGCGGATCGACTGAACATT